CCCCCCCGCCGCCCGACGCCCCGCCTTAGGCCGGGCGCCCCCTGCTCACGCGCGTGCGGCCGCGGCCGCCGCGGACCGCCAGTAGCGCACCGCGTGGCGCCTGCACGTCCCCGCCGACCGGATCGACGCCACCGGCCTCCCCGACGACGCGACGCGTTACCGACCCGCCCGCGCCTCGTTCAAACCGAGGGGTACTTAACTATAAATTCAAGTTTTCTGGGCTCTTTTGATTTTTCGTTATTTCCCCATAATTTTCTTGATTATTCTGGTTTTTAAAAAATATTTTGTCTTGATTATCTCCGAGTTTTTCTGATAATTTCTTTTGTCGAATGGTTTTGGAGGGCGTTCACTGAAGTGCCCCTCGGTTGACACCTCGCCCAGCCCGGCCCGGCCGTTGCGGAGCGTCCCGCGGGAGGGCGTGCAGAGCATGCTGCTCGCGGTCAGCAGCGCGACACTGAGATGACAGCGGACGAGCTCCACTGAGCTGACCCGGAAGCGGACGACGCTGCGGACACCGGAAGTCCTGCGCTGCCCCCGCTGACCTGAGCAGCACCTGGGAGACCCCCCCCACGGTCCGCGTGCACCGCCCGCAAAAGGTACATGTGCGGCGGGCCGGCGGCCGCATTTTTGTTTACGGTTTTCGACCCGAAGTGAAGTGGTCAAACCGGAAATCTGAAAGAGCAGATTCATTTTTGTGTTTGCAGCTTTCGATGTAGAACGCGGATGTAATCACACTTTCCAAATTATTTTCTAAACCATCCGGCCGCTCTTGCAATGCGCTTTTACTTCTTTCCCCTGCGCGACTTCTGCAATGAGGTATTTTCCGAATTCGAAGAACAAGAGGAATATTGTCTGCTCCCGGACCATCACAAAGCCTCGACCAGTCAGAGGCGGCCTTTCTGGAGCCGGCCACGAGAGAGGCTCTCTCTGGTTGGTCGAGGCTTTGTGGTGGTCCGGGAGCAGACGATATTCCTCTTGTTCTTCTAATTCGGAAAATACCTCATTATTAGTTTGGCTATGGTTCTTCCGCTGAATCCCGGAAAGGGATCCTGAACCGGAAGCAAGTTTGCCCGCCGTTCTGTCGGTAGTTAGTTATACTGCACCACTTGCACCGCATTCGCTCCCTTTTCCCCCTCCTCGCTCATGACGCTGAACAACTTGGAAAGGGATGACGAGCCAGGGCAGCCAGGGCCGCGCGGTATCCCCCTGGCCGGGCCGGGCCGTCCGCCGCCCTATCTGCTCCGGGCTCGACGCTCCTTTTACGCCCACTTCTTGCTCTTGGGGCTCGTCCTGCAGCGCGACACCCCGGACGACACCAAACCTTCGCACCCCCGCACCGCCGTACCCACTCGACTCGCCGCCTTTATCGAAAACACCCCAGCGGCGCGGCGGCCTAGCACACGTCACCGGTCGTCGTCGTCGTCCTCATCTTCCTTTCCCATCTCCCACAAGGGCGAAAGCGAACCGCAATGCGGACGTGAAAATGGTCCATCCGACTCCCCACCCCCGGGCGGGTGGTGTGTCGTGTCGTGTCACACACGTTCCTTATTTCTCTCCCGGACTTTGATCTCCCTACGTCTGGGCTACGTGTGCTGGGTACGACGGTGCGCCCGGCGGGCGTGCGCAGGACCTGTCAAAGAGCGCGCTCGGGGCGGGGCGTGGCGTGGCGTGGCGGGGCGGGGCGGGGCGGGTCAGCCCTCCCTCTACAAATAGCGCGTTGCCCTCAGCGTGTTAACGCTCACGGCGCGCAGAGTGGGCGCGCGGGAGCGGCTTTGCGACTTTGCGTGGCCGGCCGCGTATAACACAACGCAACGCGCGTCGTAAACCTGCGGCTTCTCTCTCTCTCTCTCTCTCTCTCTCTCTCTTTCTCTCTCTCTCTCTCTCTCTCTCAATTTCTGGTTTTTGGCCGCCCGACCCATT